GACAAGGGCGGGAGGGAGGTGAAGAGGAGTTTCCTGCTGTGGTTGTTCCACTCCAAGCTGGGGGAGAGAGACCCCATCCTTAGCACCCTCGGTCTGCGTGCGTGAGAGAGGCACACGTCCGCAGGAAGAAAGACGGAGCTACCCGAGCTCTCCCCCGTTGCCCGCGGAGCCCCGTCCAGCTCCCAGGCTGCACCTCCCACCACCCCCCGCAACAGGGCGCGTGTGCAAAGGATTCTGGGTCGCGCTGGACCAAGAACCAGCCTGGATGCAGCGTGACGGCCTGGCCTGCGGCCCCTCACCTGCCCAGCTTCTCCAGCAGCTCGTAGAGCTCCTCCACGTTGCCGGGTCTGAACGTGGCCATGACGGTGGGGCTCAGCCGCTCCGTCATAAAGACCTCATCGTCCTCGGGCCAGCTGGTCTCCTGCAGAAGGCAGAGGGAAGAGACTGAATGCAACCCCCCCGAGCTTAGCCAGCAGGACCATGGCTCCCCTGGGGGTGGCTGAGCCCCTCCTTTAGCTCAGTGGGTAGAGACCCCTGTCCTTGCTGCAGAAGGTCACCCGTTCAATCCACACCGAGCCAGCCCCGAGTGGTCACAGAAATTGAGTACGAGTCCCCCAGGGGCAGTGCTCTTACCCTGGCTGTGTTTAAGGCCTAGCAGGCCGAGCGCCAAGGACTCCTGGGTACTACCCCCGGCCGGGGAATGGGAGTGGGTCTATTTAGTTCAAGCAAAGAGAAGTAGGAGCCAGGACTTCTGCATTCTCCTGCCAGATTTGGGACGGAGAAACTGGCTGAGAACCAGGACTCCTGGGTTCTAGCCCTGGTTCCAGGAGAGGGGCGGGGTCTAGTTAGTTAAAGCAAAGGAGAGTGGGAGCCAGGACTCCTGGGTTCTTTCCTGGCTCTGCTACTGACTCCCTGCATGCCACTGGGCAAATCACTTCCCTTCCCCCTACCCCACTTCCCCATGGGAAGGGGGATACTGGCAGCAGGGGGTCTCCTGGCTGAAACCGAGTGAAGGTTTGTAGAGCTCTTTGGGATGGGAAGGGGCAAAGCCCCCACTACCGAGGTTAACATCAACCCGGCCACGGTCACCGTGGGGGCCCCACACCTTTAAGGTACACTGAGGAACAGCAGGGTTTTCCCGCCCTGCATTGCTACAGTAACAACAGGTTCACAAGCAGGGTCACTTCGTCACACGGATCACGCCTGGGGAATAACAGAGCTGGGGAGAGGGGCCCAGCTGTGATCCCTGAGAGGCGACTCCTCTGGCAGGCCCGCATTCCCACACGCCATCCTCTGCCGCCCGGCTTCGGCTGGCACGCCTCCGTCCATGCCGGCACGCTGCAGCGTCTTCCATCCAAACGGGGCGGCAAAGACCCAGCGCTAGAAGAAGTCCTCACGCAGTGAGTGACGTTACAAAGCGCTGTCGGTTAGCACGCACGGGTACCTCCAGGCTCCGCTCCCCCCAGGACTTAGGATAGGGCAGCACTCTGGTCTCTACTGGCAAATATCGACTCTTCAACGGTAACCAGTAGATGGGGTGGTTGCAGTGCAGCTACTTCTGGGGTGGGGCGCAACAGTCGTTGAACAGCACATCCCACTGCTGCACAGGGATCATTCCCCTGCCGCTGAAAAGCGGCCAGTTCTGGGGTGAGTCACAGCAAAACAGCACACTGCAACACCGTACTGGGAGCTCAGTGGTTTGAGCAGTGGCCTGCTAAACCCAAGGTTGTGAGTTCAATCCTTGAGGGCGCCATTTAGGGATCTGAGGCAAAAATCTGTCTGGGGATTGGTCCTGCTTGGAGCAGGGGCTTGGACTAGATGACCTCCTGAGGTCCCCGCCAACCCTATGATTCTACGTTGGAATCTATGAAGAAGAATAAAAAACGCACAACGGCCCAGGAAGAATTGTGTGTCCACCTCACTCTCTAGGAGGGCTCAGGCTCTGCAGCTCATTCGACTCCTAGGCCTCCGTGTGGAGCTGCCGACCAGGAGCCAGTGAGCGCCCCATGCAATGGGCAGGAGCAAATCGACAGAGAAGAGCAACCCACGCCACCCTGCTGCTGCCCTCAGAGGGGGAAGGCTTGGAAGTCAGTGACCGAGCAGGGAAAGACCCTCCAGCCTGTACTCCACCAGGTCTTCCCCGTCTTTTCAACTATCGCCCGGTCGCAACCTGCCGACGCCACGGGACGGAGAATCCACCACGTCCGCGAGGAGGCTGAGCCAGGGTTAGAAACTTGTCCCTTACTTCCAACTTTGGGTCAATTTCCAGCCACTCGTTCTGCCGCCACCTGGCAGATGAGAGAAGCTTCTTCTGCCCTGCCCGGGTTCCAGGCTCCGAACCACCCAGCTCTCACCTGGATACAAAGCCATGCACCGTTAATCCCTCCTTATAGAACAGCGCAGACCCTGCCCCTTAGCCGCCTCCCTGGTGAGCCTCTTTAGAACCAACAAGCTGCTCCACAGAGGGGTGAGCCGGGCTGCAGGGACTGAAGGAAAGTTGATAGAGGCGAAAGGCTGGTCCAGCGACGAGGCAACTAAGCAGGGGCTGGGGTGACCTGGGTTCAACTCCTTACTCTGCCACAGACCCTGTGTGTGGCCTCGGCTGAGTCACTTAGCTGCGGTGCCTCAGTTTCCCCAGCTATACACTGGGTATAGTTGCCCTGCCTCAAGAATATATACATTACTGGTTGGGAGGTGCTCAAATGCTGCAGTAATAGGGCCCAGATAAACTATGTCAGATAAATTTAAAAGCAAACTTTTTTTTAAAAAAAAAAGTGCAAGATTAACCTGTGGAACTTGCTGCCACAGGATATTACTGGGTCCCAGAGCTCTTCAGGACTGAATGGTTTCTGGCAGAGGGCTGTTTCCAGGAGACCCCACCACTACTCCGCCACCCCCAGACGGGAAAACAGAGGGGGAGAAAACTCAGCTGAACAGCCAGAAAAGGGTTGCGGAGCATCATGCACCCAAGCCAGGACCCCCGGCCCCTCAATGACCCGAGGAGAGAGCAGATCCCAGCCACCAATCACTAGGGTCAACTCTCACCTGGACGGTGTCGGAGGGGCTCCCGGCCTCCCCATTGGCAAGGCCCACGGCCCCGCCATCCTCAGCCATCAGCTGCAAAGACAAACGAAGGGCCCGGGTTAGCTGGGAAGAGACGTGGTGCTGAGGACGGGGCACGGCCCTGCCGTCATGGACTGAGCCTGGCTGTGAGCAGTGGCGCTTAGGGTCACCTGCCAGAGAAAAGCAGAACGTGGGGATGCGGATACCCCTCAATCCTAACCCACTGCCCCCAGGTCCCCCCAGCTCTTCTAGCGTCCCTTAATCCCCCCCTCTTCCATCCGAGCCCTGAACACACACTCACAGCTCTGCTGATGCCCCTCAATCCTGACCCAGCCCTGAACACACACCACCAAATAAGCCGCCACCTGGGTCCACATCTCCAGCAGAGGCCACGGAAACTCATTTCACCTGTGACCTTCACACCCAATCCGGAGGGCCGGGCGCCCTTTAACCCTTCGCTCCCCCTGCTCCTCTCCAGCCCCCCGGGCTACGGAGGGGGCCCGACCGCAGGGACACAGACGAACGCCCGCGTGAAACGAAATCAGAAGCCGAGACGAGACAGAGACTCAAGGCACAACAAGGCGGCCGGAAAGCAAAGCCCGGGGAGACCCCGGAGAGCGATTACAAGGGAGATTACTCTGCCGGGTCACAGCTGAGCTGCCGAAGGATTTACAGCCGTAGAGTCAGCGGGGGAGAAGGAATTAAAATCCCTGGGGGAGGGGGAGGCACACGGCCACTTTTTGGCCCTGAGCTGGTCCATGCAGCCTGGACAAAAGCCCAAACGACATCAATGGGGCTTTGCGGATCAGCTTGCAGGATCGGGGCCTTCATCGCTACACCTCCTGGGCCTCAGCCTCAGTTTCCCCAAGGCTCTGCCCAGGCCGCTCTGGCAGCAGAAGGGGGCCGGAGAATCCTGCTGTGCAGGGCCTCCCCAGGCAGCATGGAGCTGAGTGAAGGATCCTGCGCCCAGCCCCAGTGCACTGCACTATGGGTATCCTTGGCTTCCCAGGGCCCAGAGGGGGCAGGGCGTAAGCTAGCGCAGCCTTGGGGCTGCTCTAAATGGCCCCAGGAGCTGGGAAGGCCCCGCACAGCCTGAGAATACAGAGAGCACAAAGCCCTTAATCCCCACCCCAAGCGCAGGAACAGAGGATCAGCCCCCACCCCAACCCTGGGCTGCCGTTCCCCCGGCTCGCCCACTGCCGAGGGTGCCTGCAGCACCGACCCCAGAGAAGTCGCCCCCTGCGCAGTTTTGGTGACAGCAATGACACTTTTGTTTTGAATCCCTCTCTGGTGAAGCCCCAAGGGCCCCCGGTGAGGTGACTCACGGCTCCTGCTGGGGGAGGGCCTGGGGGGCTGTGGGGGATGTTTGGAACCGGACAAGCCAGCGCCTCTGGATTGATTTTTAATTAGATCGCCTCCCCTGAAATTACAAGCCAGCAGGTTTCGAATATCTTCCAGATCAACTGGACAATAAACTGAAACCAAACACCAAGTATCCAAGCTCCACTCCTCGGGGGGGGGCCTGCCAGAGGATCCCGTCCCTAATGCATCCTGAATCCCAGAGCCGGGGAGATAGGACAGAGACCCAGGGAACCAGGCACATTTGGGAGGAAACAGACGACGGCCTGTTTGCCCATGCCCCAGAGATCACACCGCTAGATGCCCTGCCACCCCCCACATGCTAATGACAGCCCCCACGTCCAGGCTGCTCCAGCGCCTTTCCCACGTGACCGGCTACCTCCTGGCATTGTGACCTCGCACCAGCTGATCTGCCTCTCTGGATGGCAGTTGGCCAAGTGCCTAAGGCAACAGGTAGGACTCCTGGGTTCCCTTCCCAGCTCTGGAAGGGGAGTGGTGTCTAGTGATTAGAGATGGGGGGCAGGGCTGTGAGTCAGGACTCCTGGGTTTTATTCCCAACTCTACTGATGACAGTTGGGGGGGGAGGGGGTCCCTTTCCCTCCTGGCTCAGTTTCCCCATCTCTATAAGGGAGGGTAACAATGTTCCACCCTGTAGAGGGGTGGTGAAGCTAAACTCACTGATGTTAACAGGGCTTGGACGCTCAATCCGGTGTGTCAGCAACATAGTCAGGCAGCTGAGCCCTGCGGGCCGCACACCCAGCCCTCGCTCCATTGACACTGGTGACAAAACTCTCCCGGCACGCCCGAAGGTTTCACTTACTCCTGCTTCTCCAAACACCTCGGCCGTGTCTGCGTTTCCCAGGCCCCGATCGCGGGCCAGGGAACCACAGTCGGCAGAGAGCCCCACAGCTGAGTCCGGCAGCTATGGACTCTTCCCCCCGCCCCAGGGGATGGGGGCAACGAAACACCACCGAGCAAACCCTGGGGGTCCCTCCCCTTCATCCAGCAGCGCGGGCTAGTGGCTACAGCTCCAGACAGGGAGTTGCGGCTTGTCTACATTTGAAATACTGCAGAGCTTCAGTCTAGATGCTACCCACACCGACAGGAGGGGGGTTCTCCCCTCGGCATAGCCAATCCACTTCCCCTAGAGGCAGGAGCGAGGGCGGCGGAAGAATTCTCCCGCTGACTTGGCGGTGGCTACCCCGGGGGCTGGGTCGGTTTGACTGCACCACTCGGGGGCGTGGATTTTTCACGACATAGTTAAGCCCATTTAATTTCCCAGCGTAGACCAGGCCTTAGTCAGCAGCCCTTGGGCTGGGACTCAGCAGAGCGGGGTTCTAGTACCACCTCATAGGGGCCTGGGGAAGGATCAGTGGCCCAACCGTTTGAGCAAGGGGTTCCCGACAGAGAGCCCTCCCCCACACCACCACCACACAAAAAAAAAAACCCCATGATCTCAAAATGTTATGGTCCTTAACCCTGGAACACAAGTGCTTTGTGGCTAGCAATCACCAATCCAGAAAGTGAAAATGACTAGAGGAAGTGAAACTGACCGGCACTGCCCACACAGAGTGAAATAACAACCTTAGATTCTCATTGTTCTTCTGGGTCTGATAAGTTCAGGCCTTATCAGCATCACCGACAGCAGCATCTGCCTCCTAAATCTACTTCAGCAGATGGGTAGGGAAGAATAATGGACAAAAGACCCCAATGATTTATGGGGGAAATGGTCACTGCATCGGTCATATATGTGATTCCACCCACTGTTGTCCACCAGAGCTTCCTGGTAATGCTGGGGACAGAACTTGGGCCACTGCACTAAAGGAGGATCCCTGCTAGCTGTATAGTGCTTATGACACTCCGCTGAGCAGCTCAGATGCCATTCAGTAGAGGGCAGAAAGCTCAATAGTTGTTCAGAGGGGTCACCCCCCCCACACACACCATGGCACCCTCTAGCACGGATTCAGAGGGGAGAAGGCACATATACCACGTGGCGATCCTCACAGCCGTCTCCCATCCAAGAACTGACCAGCCAACACCTGCTTAGCTGAACAGTCCTGAGATGACCACATCCAGAGACAGGACAGATGCAAGAACAAAAGGTGCTCCCCTGTGCTGGCCGATCAGCGTCTCCGTTGTGTAGTGCCCGTCCCCTCGGCTCTCAGACACAGCTGCGCGAGCGCTCCCAGAGGGCGACACGTTTGGCTGCTCCGCAGTCCCTGCTTAATTGGCATCAGCCTGCTTCCTCTCTGGGGAAAGGTGGGGTGAGGTTTCTCCTACAGAGGCTTGCCCAAATGCTTTCTAGGAGCCTGGTCAAAGAACAATCATCACAATACCCAGCTCTTACGCAGCGCTCCTCATCAGCGGATCTCACAGCGCTTTACAAAGGAGGGCAGCCTTCATTATCCCCAATTTATAGAGGGGGAAACTGAGGCACGGAGCAGGCAAGCGACTGGTCACCCAGCAGACCAGTGGCAGAGCTGGGGTGAAGCCCAGGCCTCCTGAGTCCAGCCCAGCGCGTGACCCAGGGGAAGCCAGTTTCAGTTCTTCGTCCTTGTCTCCGCCTTCTAAACAACATTCAAAAGTGCCCAAGTTATTTTATGTTCAATACTGAAGCCGGTAATTGCTCTAGGGGCCGCAGGAAAGTTCACCAGCGGGACGGGGTGACCACGCAATGATGGATGGCTCCAGGCAGCAAATAGCTGGGTAACTATGCCTGCATCACAGTGCTGCCCTGTGTGTATTACAAACCCAGCTGTGCCAGAGGACTTGGAACAAAGACTGACCTTGCAGCATAAAATAGAGGTCTCAGCCTGGCACGGGGGGGGGAGGAGTCCAAGGTCTTAATGCAAGTTATAAGTCACGGCAAGAGCCAATCTACACCGCAAAACAAAATGAGTTCCCCCAGCACTGGTGCACCTGGGGTACAGATGGACCCTCTCTGAGGTCACAGTGAAAAACGACAGAAGCCAGCACTCTGGATCACTGCAAGCAGAATTATAAAGGGACAACCCAGCAGAGTTTTGTTTCATATTGAAAAGAACCACCAGATAGCAACAATACAGATGCTTCAGGGCATGAGCCACCAGGGGCGGTCAGGAAGAAATCTCTGTTCTTACAACACAGCACTGCACAATCGCGCGCCATCTGCGGAGAGTTACACCTGCCCCGGCGCACCCACTCACTTCTAGAGAGGAGATAGGAGGCTAGGCCGCTCGGACGTTCTGCCTGAGTGCGCAGATCCCAAAGCCCCGACCCCACACGCAGACACTGGGCCCAGGGACAACAATAGCTTTGACAGGGAGATGCTCATTTGAAAGCCGATTGGAATTTTTCATTGGAAACATTTCCCCACCTCAATGAAACCCGTTTCTTTTGTCCAAACAGGACTGCAGGAAACATACATCTTTGATGACCTGGGGGAGGGGGTGAGTTGAAAAACCAACACAATTTCCAGCCAAACCCACAAAAATGTTGGGTTATGGGCTGAAATTTTACAGTTTTGAGGGGGAAAACAACAACAACATTTGCTCCATTTTTTGACAAAACAAACCAGCCAACATCTCCAATGTAGATGACAAAACCTTTTCGGTTTTCATCTCATTTTTTATTGGGAATACAAAACTGATTTCCCAGTCAGCTCTAAGCCGCCTCTCACCCTGCTCCATGCTGACTCTAGCTCTGCCCCCCCCCCCATATCTGAGCTCCTCACAATCTTTATCTATCCCCCCCGCACTGCTGCAAGGCAGGGCCATGTCACTAGCCCCATGGTACAAATGGGGAAACTGAGACACTGAGAAGCTAAGTGACA